TTTATTCTGTCAGATTTTAATTCCTCTTTTTAATTTATCCTTTTGAAGGTTTCCTCTTGACTGCCTCTCACATTATACATTCTTTTTCTTCCTGTCAGTCATTAACTTCTGTCCTCCATCTCATTACTGAGCATAACATTTTTTTTTTACATTGATGTAGGAGCATATACAGAAATAATTTGTTTAGAAATGAGCCAGCGCCTCTCTGTGTTAAAGTGGTCATGCTCAGTCTTCACGTGCACAGATGATTTCATGTTGGTCATACTATAGTAGTTCATGATCTCTTTCCTTTGTGTGACTAGCAATTTCTCCAGAATTTATATCTAGCATGAGGGAGGTCAAATGACTCTGGCTTATTTCTTCTACTGGACATATATTTTAACATATTTCCAATCTTGGATCAGTGGCTGATTGATATAAGTTCATAATCACATTTTCAGAAGTTAGCATTTTGAAGTGAATGGATTAGTGTCATCACACAGTGCTCATTCTCGTCATGTTGATCCCCATTCCCTGATGAAAGCAGCAATATTTGTAGCCATGGTCATGACTGTCATGTGATCCTTTGGAACTCCTTCATGACACTTACCTTCAATAAAAATGGTGATGTTCTAATTATCTACCAACTATATTATGTATGTAGAAATTTCATATAGCCCAGAAAATTGGGTATATCTATCCCTGTTCTAGAGTCTCCCCTTATCCTTCTCATTTATTATAGACAATCAGTAGGTTTAATGAATTAGTGCCAGAACCATCTTTATTTAGTCTACAATGTTCTGTCCTGTGTTAGACTTTTGAAACCTTACTATCTAAAAACATTCATTAAAGAATATGACAAGATAAAATGTCAGGATATATGGACTATAAGTTGAAACACAACCTCTTAAAGTTTCCATCTATTCTGTATATTGGTATATAAGTTTCTTTACTTCTCTGTCCTGGCTTTAGTATCTTTGAAGTAAGATGATGTAGATGTTGAATTCATAGGGTTTTTCATGAGTATCAAATAAATGACTATATGTAAAATTTCTAAATCCTCATATATATTTCAATTCTTTATAATCAGTTGCTTTTATGGCAATGTCACTTTTCTTAAAATTAGTAGCATTTTAAAATAATTTCCCTTTTCCTCACTTGTCTTCCTCACCACTATATTATTTCCATTTTGGTTGGGAGGTATGGCTTTACTCAGCTGTATGAATCCTTCCCTTTTTATAATACTTTAACCAAAACATATCAATGATACCTCAAAAGACAAAATATATATCATGAGAGAAGGTAGTATCTATTCTAATGCCAAGAAAACATTGACTGTTGTTAACACTCAGGTAATATTAAACATTGACACACATCGAGGTAATAAACACCTAATAATCCATTGAATTATACATGACAGATATTTACAAAGCCTTCCATTAATATAATGGCTTGTGTAGCAATCACAAATGTGAGGATTGTTTCTAATGAATACTCATAGATCATATGTGGAGTTAAT